TCTTCAGGAAAGTCGTCTTGGGGAAAAGTCCCTGATGTGCAAGAGTATTGGAATAAGACATACCACAACCAAGTATTTTGACCTTCATCCACCCACATTTCACATTAGCAAGTGTGTAACCCATGTCATTTTCGGTTTAACATTTTATTTCTGTTAAAGAGTTCAAAATTAGGGCCTAGGGAGCAAAAGGTCACCAAGCATGGGCAATTGGTAAAGTTGCTCACATATTACTAACCGCAAGAGCCCCACCCTCTCATTCAGTCTGGCTTGCAGCAGGAGAGAGAAGATCAGAGCTTAACTGAAGGAAACTGCTAATTTTTTTGCAGGCCCAAGCCAGAGAAAGGATCCTAGAGCAGCAGCAGCAGCAAGCACTCCTGAAGAGTTTATGGGGAAGAAGCTGCACTCCATTTCTTTAAGTTATCATTCGGGACTTTCTCTTTTTCCTTGTGTTAATGGACGCTGTCTGCTAAAATTAGCCTTTGCCTGAACGGCACTGAAGGTCCTGTCTCAAAAGAGGACCACTTCAAATTTGCCCAAATTCTGAAACAATCAGGTAAGGATTCTACCCCTTTTGAGATAAGAAACTCAAACAAAAGCCCTTCAGACATGCTTTCAAGGACATACACATCTACCATGATTGTATTTTCTCATCCATTACTGTACATTTGTCAACAAAATACAAACAGAAGCAAAGTGATGTTGGAGCCTAACTGTGAGGCAAAGCACCCCGGCCGCCTCTCAAGGGTTAATGTGAATGGTAATGTGCCTGGTCTATTCTGCAGGTGTTACTAATTGGACCTATGCAGCTCTTATCTTCAAGACCAAAGTAGTTAGCTTCTCATGAGAACCTGCGGTCTGTGTGGTGGGGAGCCAGGAGTAGGTGTACCAAGCCGCAGCAGGGGATCCGCACGTCTTCACAGGATCCCTGCCGCGGGGGACAGCGATACGCATTGTACCGCCGTCGCCAGGATGTGACGCTACGCGTCGCTCTGGCAACGGGACTCCAAATAGCCCCGTTGCCAGAGCAACGCGTAGCGTCACATCCTGGCAATGGCGGTGCAACGCGTATCACTGTCCCCTGCGGCAGGGATCCTGTGAAGACGTGCCGATCCCCTGCCGCAGCTTGGCAGCCCTAGCCAGGGGTGATGAAGTAATCTTCTAGAGGCTTCTCCTGAAGACATGCCATGATTGGATGTCACCTTCGCCTGATGTGCAGGGCACAGAATCTGTAATTAAGCTAAGGCCCTAAGGAATATTGACTAGCTTTGATGGACTAGAGGCCTGAACTATGACATGCAATTGATAGTAATGCAGAGAATTTGAGCTTTGGCCTTTGACTCTGGAATGTAAGGTTTGTGCCATCTAATGCAGGTTCTAGAAAGTGTTAGACAGTTAAGCTAGTTTTCTTGTTTTCCTGCTGTATGGTCATTGAGTAATGTGTTGCATGTAGAATAATTCTTTCTTTGAAAGAAATTCCATAAACTTTATAAAATATTGTTTAAAATAAGCAATAGGTCTGGTTACTTGTGTGGAACAAGCCCTGGGGACCCACAGGGTTTAGCCTTGGACTCCTTGCCACTCACCTTCTGCAAGGTCCTGGAACCTAGAAAACAGGTGAAAAATAAGTTTTTATTTCCATTATCTGTCTGCAAACTGAAGGTGCACAAACACTGGCATTTGCAGTCATTCTATTAAAAGACCACCAAGATAAATCGGGAAAGGGTAGGACTGCTAATGGTGCATGACATGGATAGAAAGGAAAACATATTCAGGCAAAATAGATTCTCAGGAGTGTACTTTCATATCACTTACTTTTTAACCAGTTTATAGAGACGTTTTCTATTGAATGCTGGTGTGTGTTTTCTGCTGCCTAATTCAAACAGCATGTCGGCAATGCTTTTATAATTGAACTATCAAATTAAAAAAAACAACAGAACAATGTTATAGCTCTTTAGATCAGGTAAACTTGAACATTTGCCCAGATTTTCTCAAACTTTTTTTAATATAGAAGTCTTCCAGGTAACACAAACACTGAATAAATACGGCAGTTTCTCACAAAGAAAGTTATTAACCAGTAAACTAAAGTGTTAAATCATTCTGTTAAGTAAACCATATAGAATGAGACACTAAGCATATAATCATTACCTGTTTTTTTTTTTAAAAAATCTGTTAAATTTATCAGACAATAAATCCCACTTTCACATCCTGCCAATGAAGAGTTAACTTCTCCACCAGTGCCTTGTCCCACTTGAACTTGCACCAGGATAGTATTCTCAGCTTCTCAGCACTTTCTAATCTTGTGGCAAAACTAAGGAAAATAAGATTTTATACAATTTTTTTATCCTTGAAAAATCCCTAATAATGAAAGATGTGGATACAGAATGCATCTAATTATCTTGACCTCTTCATAAATTGAAAGATGCTGTACCTTGACATTGTGTACTATCATTTTACATTTACCACATTTTCCCCCTACTCCACACATCTGAATTAGTGCATCTGCCCAGCTCATACAACAGACATCCCACTTTGCCACTAGCTCAAACCTCCAACCTGCACTCCAGGCCTGAGGGAACAGATCCCACAACAGTCATGGACTTGTGACATAGTCAAGAGCCATGTTTGCCATGCTTTGGGAGATCTAGAGACTTGACTGTTTACAGGTCAAAAATCAGCAACACGTGCAAGACCCGTGAACAGATACCTGTGACACAGCCATCACTTAAAATCATGTAATACAGTAACTAGTCTTTTTTTGCCAAAGAAACAGGTCATGCGGTTACTTCAGTATTATCTGTAGGAGTTCAAATTAAAGGAGAGTAGCTCATGTCAATCAGAAGAAGCCTTACACAAGCAGGCACCTTGTGAAAGAGGGCACCTACCTGAAGGACAGGACCAATGTTATCATCATTAGCTTCTAAAAGGTTTTCTTTTGCTTCACCATCTAATGGAAGTTTGTTTGGCAAGCTCCTGTCTGCACAGCACGGAATAAACACACTTAACAATCATTTGGAAAGAACTGGGCAACAGAGCACTCACACTAAAGAACAAAAGAGCCTCCGCACTAACTCACTCCAGCATGAGATGAGGGGCTGATATTTCCCTCCCTCCATTCATTCAAAAAGCTCACCTTGTAACCAGCACGGCCCTTACAGGGCAAGGTGAAGGAATGAATTTCCTCCTCCAAAGGGCTGAGGGGCAAAAAGCTTCTCAACCTGCCTTAAGAGAGACTCACTGCTTTTGTCTCAGGCTGGCAACCTCAGATGAGCAACCTATCCTGCCATGGCAGGGCTCTGCCCCTAGTGTGAGAGGGATTCTGTCAGGCACTTCTGACCACAGACCAGAATGATAGAAGGCTGACTGGGGGGTGGGGAATAACTTGGTTCTGATCCACAAATGTGAATTGCTAGAAAGATTTCTCCTTGCCAGTGAAGACCATGTGCAGATTTCCTCTCTATATAAAGGGAGCTGAAATAGGGGAAAGCAGTCTGGAGCAAGGACATTTAAAGTTAAAGCCAATACTTTAAATTGTGCTTGGCAACAAAATATGAGCCAGCACCCAGGTGTAGTGGTGTGTGCATCAGTTCATCCCCACTGAATAGCCTTCAAAGGAAGCTTCAGACTGAACACTTTACAACAATCCAAACTAGGGGTTATCGCAGTATGAAACATGCTCACCTTTGGCCACCAGCTTATTCTCTTCATCACTCCAATCATCATCTTCTGACAGATCATCATCACTACCAGCTTTCAGTTCCCTCATTAAATCTTCTACAGCAAATGGGCACTGATCCACAATGGTTTCAAAGATACCACGGATTATGGCTTGCAGCAGATGACGACTGAGTTGTTAAAGGGGAAAAAAAAGCATCACAAAGATATACTTTGGGGGCTTCCATTTACACCTACTGAAAGCCTGCTTCGTAAAGGTGACAAGAATTGCACTGTAATTTGCAAAAAACAACAATTCATTGCATGGGTTCTGAAGCAAGAGCTAGCTGGGTTGGATTCATCCAATATTCTTTTGCTAATATCCCAGCATTACCATTGCAGTACCCAGAGAATCAAGAAATAGCTTTCTTATTATCAGAAGAAAGATATTGTTCCCATAGTTACGCAGTTTCATTTCAGGCACATGAAAGAAAGCTAGTCTTGCTTTCTTCTACTCCCTCTTTTATGCTTAATTTTGCTCTGGAAATCTGCTCAGTTACCGCCATGTTGCAGCAGCTAAACTGATTAGGACTGATCTGGGTTCAAATCCCCACTCAGCCATGAAGTTTACTGGGTGACCTTGGGCCCATCCATTCTCTCAGATTAATTTAGCTCACAAAGTTGTTGTGAAGAGAGAACAATGTATGCTGCCCTAAGCTTCTCGGAGAAAAGCAGGATAAAAAGGCAATATATGCCGCTTTTAAAACAATATGGACACCACTAACTTCCAGAGTCACTACAAGTAGTAAAATCCAGCGACTGAACATACTCTTTGGTCTTGGCAGCAGTTTTGCAGAAGGGCTCGATAAATGTGAGATTCTGGTCTGCTGTGAGCTACAAAAACAAAACAAAACAATATATGGTTAGGTGGCCCAGGTTCTTCTTAAACTACTGTAATCTGCGAAGAAGGAATGCATACTTTCTAAAGCTAAAACAGTAAAGGCTGTTTGTTACCCTATGGCAACTGTAATATTTTATGCCAATAAAGGTATTTGTTTGTTTGTTTGTTTGTTTAAAGGCTGTTTGGAGAAAGCCATGACTATAAACCAGAGTAAAACATTCAACATTCATGCTGACAATATCTCGGCCTAGGATTTTATCATTTCTTTGATGTCCTTGGGTCTCTCCGAAACTGTGACTGGCTCAGCACGTGAAAGATCACACACCCTGGGTGTAATGTTTTGCACTAAGAAACTGAGGGAAGGCTTGGTTTCAGGGCTGGAGATCTATCCTGAACCCTGATCTGATCACTACCTACTTGCGGCTCAAACACCCCACATGAGGCTCTTGAACCATACTGGATTTCAGAATGCTCTGAGGGGTATTAGGATTCCAAATGTGTGTTCTGTTGAGGTGGCAGTGGAAAAGTGGAATGTGAAGCTCTTTGAACCTATCAACAAGCTTGCCCCTTTGGGATGTTTATCACAGAGCTGGGCAACCTAAAAGAGTTGGGAAATGTCTAGAACAGTCCTGGTGGAGAAATCGTACATAAGCTGGCAGATCATGCAATAGAACTCATTGTAAGACCTATGAAGCGACAGTGATAGTGGCAAAGAAAAGTACTTCTCTACTATCATAGCCTCAGCTACTTCACACTCACCCAGATTGTTCAAGGTAGAACAGCATCTGCTGATACCTAAATCTGAGCCTCTAATACCCCAGGAACAATTAGTTGTAATACTTTTGCCAAGCTTTTTCCTAAGAAAATATAAACAATACGCTTTGATCTGGATGACAATAGGAAAACCAGAAGAAAGGCCTAATACGCTGTGCAAGCAAAGGCCTAGCAGGCCCAGGGAGCCTGACTAGCAGTGGGAGGAGGCCAGGCCTACAACTCCCAGAAGTCCCTGAGAGGTTTTGGTGCCAATTTTAGCCAATCACAGAGAAAAGGGACTTGTAATAAAAGAGCTGGTACAGAAGAAGAGCTGTTCTTTCTTCCAAGAGAGCAGGGCCAGAGGGAAGGCTGCTGCTGGGAGAGACCCTCACCCTGAGAGGAAGGGTAAGTAGACTCAGGGCCAACTGAGAAAGTAGACTAGGAACTGTGAGTCTAGCCGCGTTAGGGCATTTAGTTTCTTTTCTTTTCACCCACTTATTGCTATTGTTCTGTTCCCATATTTGACTGACCTCCTGTAAAAAGAAACCTTTTATTTGTTGTTTACTCTGCCTGGTCCTCACGCCAATTATTTGGCCAAATAAGGGAGGTCTGAAGGTCTTGGGAGGGTGCTCTGGGCCTTCTCAACGGATCCTAAAACCAGAGTGGTGGCAGCGTCAGGTGACACCCCACCTGAGCCGTGACACGCTGCCTGGGCCATTTATGGATCACTTTGACCCAGTTTCCATGATGGATGTAGACAAGTTCCTGGGATCTGTGAAGGCCACTACTTGTACCCCTGGCCGTTAACATAATGTCAGGACCACATCAACAAACCTTTTGCATTATTATAAATCAGTTACTATTTCAGGCACCTTCCCTCATCCACTCAAAGAGGTGGCTGATATTGGAAAGCAGTTGTCATTGGTGTGCGACCTGACCGGGCCACCTGGATCCACACCACCATAATATCAAGACTAGACTACTGTAACACACCATACATTCATTGCTCTCCCCTCTAATCAACTTGGAAACTCAGAATGGTCCATAATGCTGCAGCTTAGCTGTTAGCTGGAGCTAGACGGAGCTTGCATATTACTCCCATTCTGCAGACAATCTACTGGTTGCCCATTTATTATCAGGCTCACTTTAAGGAACTGGCTGTAACATACAAACCCCTTCATGGCCATGACTCCACTTATTTGCGCGACTGCGTCTTCCGCTATGTTCCACCACAACAACTTCGCTCATGTCAGCAGGGGCTTCTGTAGGTGCCAACCTGCCAATGGGCAAAATCAACAACTACCGGTATATGGGCTTCCTCTGTTGTGGCGCCTACCTTATGGAATGGCCTGCCCAAGGAGCTCAGGAAGGCTCCCGCTCCCCTGGATTTCTGCAAACTGTGCAAAACTGAATTATTCAAAAGGGTTTTTCTGCTCAGGTAACAGGGTTACAATGTACAAAATGGTTCACAAACTTACTTGGATAAATGATTAGAGACTGGTCTATACTGCCATGGACAGCTTATTGTAAGTAGGTTCCTACTATATAATTTCTGTACTGCTTAATGTGGCACGTTAATACTTATGCTACGCTTCCGTACTTCTTGGTAGTTCCAGACTCCCAAAATCCTACTGCGTCCCATTTTGTTAATCGTACTAACTCACAATGTGTAATCTGCGTTGAGTCCGTGTGAGAAGGGCGGACTATAAATAACATAAATAAAAAGCTAATTTTAATGTCATCAGAATACTTTGTAATTTAGGTAATATACAATAAAGCGTAGTCACTTTTGATGCTGACAATGATTATTAGTCCTCCTGGTACTTGGTGCAGTGGCTGAAGTTTCAGACTAGGACCTGGAAAACCCTGGTTCAAACCCTTACGACACTGCCATGAAGCTAGCTGGATGACCCTCATCCATTTTTCTCTTCCTCTGCCTAACCTACCTCACAGAGTTATTGAGAGGGTAAAATGGTGGGGAGGAGACAGATGTATGCTGCCCTGAGCTCTATGAAGGAAGAGGGGGAAACGCGCTGAAGACAATAAAATACAACACATAGGCTATACAAAAAATATAAGAGTGGAAAATATAAGAGTGCTAACCTCAGGCTTTGTTCAGATGTCATGGAAAAGTACGGCTTAATTGAATTAACTACAATTAGTGAGTTCATCTGAATGCAAGCCATTCTACTAACTATGGCTGGTTAAGGTGTGTCAAGCCAGGACCTGAAATTATGGTTTGAAGTTTGTTTAGCAGAAACAAGAAGGGGAAAAAACTGAACCTAACAATAAACTCCAGAACCAAACAAAGGTTAGTGAAAAGGAGGGCCAATATTAAAACCTTTCCATAAAAAAAGGTACATGTATTTATTGATAATAACAAATTTTAAAACATATATAGGGGTCCAATTACAACCAATGTATATAAAACATAACAATATCAAGGGCTTAAAAAGTTGACCTTACGCGTTTCGGCCACATAGGCCTTCCTCAGAGGTCATACATATGTGGCAAGATGGCTAATGCATATATTCTCATACACACAATCAGAAATATATACAAAGTATAGATTCAATAAGGACCATAAAGTAAATTGTTCAGAAGTAAAATCACCAGGCACAGGATAAATACGCACATAAGACCTTTAAAGTGCAATCACTAGCCCAGTGATTATAAAATAAACTTATGGTCCAAAAATTTCCTTCTTTGATTGTGTTCCCACAGTATTCACATGTAAAAAGCAGTTGTGGGAACACAATCAAAGGAAATTGCCCTTGATATTGTTATGTTTTATATACATTGGTTGTAATTGAGCCCCTATATATGTTTTAAAATTTATTATCAATAAATACATGTACCTTTTTTATGGAAAGGTTTTAATATTGGCCCTCCTTTTCACTAACCTTTGTTTGGTTTTGAAGTTTGTTTAATCACCACAAATACTTGAAACTAAGGTACTGCATGAGTTACAAATGCAGGTATCCTGGCTTAATCCTGGTTTGTTTCTAGAGCTGCTTTTGTTGCAATGCAGGCTTGGACAATAGCTGGGTCTCTGTGGGAGAAAGAATGAAGGGGATGAAAGCAGCATTTGTCAAGGCAAATCAGGATTTGAATGATCACCTCTGACCCTACCTCTTTAGCTCCCACTTTAGCCAGTTCTTCCAAGTAGATGTCAATAAAATGCAGTTTTACCCCAACAGCAGCATTGCTCTCTGGCTGGATAACCTCTTTCATTAGCAGGTTCAGAAATGGTTCAGTGAAACTGAAGGAAGAAAAAAAAATGTATACTATACCCCCCTGTGTCATATCATCAGCTCCAGGATAATATTCATTTTTCAGCAAAAGTAACATGCAGCGCTATGAAATGGATTCTTAGGGACCAGAGAACATGAAACAGGTGCAAGAGAATGTGCTGACTGAAGAAGCCCAACTTTTTCTTGCAGTACAATTGACTATTTATTATTTATTTAGTATTATTTGTATTTATAGCCTGCCCATCCCGCAAGCAGACTCAGGGTGCGTAACATCATAAAACGATACAATAAATGCAATTTAAAAAGTAAACAATTTAAAACAATAATAAACATTAAAACACAATCACAATTCTGACAAGTCAGCGGGTTGTGGGAGGTTTCCTGGCATATTATCTGGGTTGGTAGGTGGGTGACAACCACCTCAGGGAGGCCACATAGGGACATCCGCTGCCTCAGCCAAAAGCCTGGTGGAACAGCTCCGTCTTGCAGGCCCTGTGGAATTGAAGAAGATCCCAGAGGGCCCTGATCTCGACTGGGAGCATGTCCCACCAGGCAGGGGCCAGGACAGACAAAGCCCTAGTCCTGGTCGAGGCAAGATGGATGCCCTTCGGGCCAGGGACAACCAGAAGATGTTGGTCCATAGAGCACGATGCTCTTTGGGGCATATATGGGAGAGGCAGTCCCTCAGATATGTGGGTCCCAGGCCGTGTATGGCTTTAAAGGTTATTATCAACACGTTGAAGTGAATCTGGAAGTCGACTGGCAACCAATGCAGTTGACGCAGCACCTCCTGAATGTGAGCGCACATAGGCGTCAATGTCAGCAGGTGCGCTGCCACATTTTGCATCAGCTGCAATTTCCGGGTCAGCCTCAAGGGTAAGCCTACGTAGAGTGAGTTGCAGTAATCAAGCCTGGAAGTGACCACTGTGTGGATCACTGTAGCTAAGTCCTAAAGGAACCCTCACACATGGGCACAATCCACCAGAAAGCTTCCAGAAGATTATACTGCCAACATGTTCCTTTTTCTCAGCAACAACATGGTAGCTATGAACAATTTTCACATAAGCAGGCTTAGCATTCCAACAGAACAGAAAGAAACAGTTAGAAGTGCTCATGAAGGGATGCCAGGTTATTCTGAGGAAATTTATTACTAAGCATGTAGGAAATGAAGCTTAGATCACTAAGTGAAACATCACAGAGTATATAGTAAACAGATGTGAATAAGAAGAGAAAGCAACATTTCTATTTCTCAATGCAGAAAAAGCGCTTGACAATTTAATACGGCTTTTCTCATTTAATGTTTTACAAAACAAGGGCTGTGGACCTGCATTTTAGAGCTAGATGCATGGAATGTACTTGAACCAACAAGCAAAGATTTTAATTAATGGGAAACGAACAGAAGCAATTTCAACTGAAACAGGAACACATCAGTGATGCCCTTTATCCTCTTTATTATTTATACTAGCAATAGAAATTTTCGCTGTAAAGATCAGACAAGATGACAGAATTAAGGGGATAAAGAGTTCAAAATGAAAAGTTATGCAGACAATATGGTTCTAACAGTCTTGAATCCCCAGAAATCACTGCAACGCGTAACTGAATATAATAAAGAATTCGGATCCTTATCAGGCTATAAAATTAACAAGGGAAGAAAAAACTAAAAATGACAATGAAAATTTTAACACAACAAGAGAAGAAGAGATTATAGAGAGCACAAATTGCTCAACAGCCACCAACGCTATTAAATATTTGGGAGTAAATGTGACTGTGCAAAACTGTAATCTTTAAAAAAAAAACTATCAGAAAATTTGGAAATCAATTCAAGCAGATTTATTAAGATGAAGAAAACGAAAAATCTCATGGCTGGGAAGAATCTCTGCAATCAAAATGAATGTGCTGCCAAAACTAAACCTTTTGTTCCAAATGTTACCCATATACATAGAAGAAAGAATACTGAAAGAATGGAAATGCCAGATAAATTAATTTATGTGGAATGGCAAATTTATATGAAACAGCAAAAAAACAAGAATAAACTTCAAACTATTACAAGATGTGAAAAAGAGAGGAGGTTCAACACCCCTAAATATAAAATTCTATTACCAAGCAGCAGGTCTGGTCTGGATTGTGGACTGGATTAAAAACCCAAGATAAAAGAATAGTAAAATTAGAATCAGCAGATCTCGATGAAGGCCTACACAATTACTTATGGATTAAGCAATCGACTAAAAAGATCACAACACAAGAAAGTCACGTAATCAGAGGCGTACTTTTGAGAATATGGTTTTCTCACCAGAATTTATCGAGCCCCATAAACTCTTTTGCTTATGTCCTCAACAAACGCTCGCTATGATAAGAATACAAGAAATAAAAATGATTTTTTACATATGGCATGATGATAAACACTCGGGGGAAAATCAAGTCTTGGCAAGATATTAAACATGAAGGTGTAAACGTTCAATGTCTGATAATATTATCAGTCTCAAGACTAAACGAGATCATGAGTATTCAAGGTGGAGTTCTGAGAGAGAAGACTGAATTTGAGCAGCTGATTATAAACCAAAAAGAACATTTGTTGTTGTTCAGTCGCACAGTCGAGTCCGACTCTTCGCGACCCCATGGACAAGATCTCGCCAGGCCCTCCTGTTTTCCGCCGTCCTCTGAAGTTTGCTGAATTTCACGTTTGTTGCATCTATGACACTGTCTAACCATCTCATCCTTTGCCGTCCCCATCTTCTTTGACAACCAAACCAATCAGTTGTTCCATATCCGGTTCTAACTGTTGCTTCTTGACCCTTATACAGGTTTCTCAAGAGACATGTGAGGTGGTCTGGTACTCCCATCTCTTTAAGGACCTGCCATAGTTTGTTGTAAATATATCCATCACAGTAAAAGAACATTTACTGTGATGGATATATAAGATTTTACTCCAGCTGGAAGCTGAAGATGAACGGTGAAAAAATGTATGATTAAGTGGATGCAAAACCTTAAAGAACAGATACCTATGCAACAATGGGAATGACTATAGAAAAAAGACATCAAATTTAGAGTCATCAGGATGGTAAGAGAAAATTGGTACAAAGTGTTTTTCAGATGGTATATAACTCCAAAGGACCTTGAGAGAGCACATAAAAACTACAAAAGAAAATGCTGGAAATGTCAAGACATGGATGAAACGTTCTTTCATATGTGGTGGACTTATAAAAAAGCATAAACATACTGGAAAGAAATACATCAAAAATCCAGAATAATTATATTAAAGTTTAAATTCTCAATGGAAGCCAAGAGTATATTTTTAGGTGTTCTGCCTAACAAATTACCAAAATTGTTAGAAGAGCTATTCAAATACATGGTCACAGTGGCTCGAACTATTTACACAGCAAAATGGAAACTAGAGTCTGTCCATGTTTAGAATGGGAAAATAAACTTGCTGAATACGCAGTAGTAGCAAAATTAACAACCTATTTGAGAAACACGTCTATTAAGAAATTTGAGGAAAGATGGTGTATTATGTGTATTGTGCTAGTAGGAGACAAACTTAAAGTGAGAAAATGTCATATACAAATGTATGGTAATGAAACAGGAGTAGAATTAAAATCTGTTCCAAATGTAATATCCTGAATAGAAATGAGTTTGATGAGATATATAATAGACTTTCTTTTACACCATGATATATTACTTATTGAAGGTTTTAATGAATAGACAGAAGTGAGAAAAATATGTTGACTACACGGTAATGATGAAACCAGTGTTATACTTAAAATAGATTAGTTACAAAATTTGAAACGAAAAACTGAAATGATGAATACAATTGTACCCAAAGATGAAATAAGAATTATTGTATTTTATAGATAATACCTTAAAAATTATAATGAAGCAAATGAAAGGGAAAATATTTTCTGTCCTATACATTCTGAACTATATGATTGTCTTTGACAAATGTAATTATGTTGTATAAAACATTTTCTTTTCTGTACCCCCACTATTTTTCTAATACACACCCACACAGAGACACAAAAGGCAACTGGGGGGTAAACAGTATTTCATAGGATGTTTTAAGTCTAATATACATTTTTAAAAATATGTTATTAATTTTTATCCACCCTGATCTCTCTGCTTATATGGCTGTTGTGATGACAAAATGGCAGAGAACTAACGAACAAGAACGAACACAAGCACCAGGATTTAAAACTAAAGCGACAGTCCTAGCACTTACATGGAATTAAGTTCTACTTAATTTACTCTGTCCTGAATACGCATAATCAGGCTATAAGTAAAGAGCATGAAAAACTGTTGTGGAAAAGACACATTACATTTTTGTTAAAAATCCCAGTTAAGTCTACCAGATACAGCTAAAGACAGTTTATTGGATTTAGAGCACTTTCGCTCTCAGTCCACCGCATCACCAAAGGGATCACCTACCTTTCATTCCATCCATTTCTCTTCAGCACTTCAAAGGACTGCCTCAGTACCATGCGAATCAACTAGGTCACAAAAAAAGTCCCATGACAACTTTTCTAGTCATAGAAATGTTTGCAAAATAATCACCAACTTTTGGTGGAAAAACAATTTCCCAAACTCAAGTATAAAAAACACATTTCCTTTCACCACTTCCATTTTTCTTTGTGGGAACAAAGGTATGACTGCAATACTCCAATGATTCCTTGTATTTTCAACTCAGCAACACAAACAAAATACAGTAGTTTCTCCACAATATCTGAACTCCTCAGCATCACTTGCATAATAGTAAGATAACATTAACTTAGAAATTAATGTCTCAGTGCTAAACCATTATGTAGAAAAAGGTTCCACCAAGACCAATAAGCTAGGCATATTCTTAAGTCAATCTACACACTAATGAAAAATCATATGATACAACATAGGTCCTTCAGTAAGCTTTCGGAATGCAGGAGAGGATCATATTCAGTGCATTTGAACCTACCACAACACAAAAATCTGGCCTGTGAAAAGGTGGCTGGCCTACAGAGTCAGAAGCATAATATGGCATAACCTGATTGAGATTTTAGAACGTAGGTGAAGACATACTAGCCGGAATCAGAGAATATTTCTATGTGGAAAGTTTTTGGCATAGGAAAAGCATTCAAACATGCAATTCCTATACCTATGTCCTGAAAAGACATATATAGCTCTATCATTTTCTTTTTCTGAACCTGTCTATCTACTCTTGGTTTTAGGATCATATTGTCAGAACACTAACAGATTTCTGCCTGACAACAGGGGAAACCTACCAATGAGAGAAAATTAAAACAAAACTTTACCTTATACATTCACTATCATTGGCTCAGTACACGTGTCACAACAAAACATGGTTAAGGAAACTTGATATGATGTCTGTACTGACAAAAATATGCTTGCAGTTGGTTTTAAAAACAAAGCTGAATTAGAACTACGATTTGAAGGGGTTTGCAAACCACGCTTTGGACTATAGGAATTGAACAAGCCATAGTTACGGCCCTTACACTGTCCAGATACTGCTATACCATTCAGTGGAGATGACATGACCTTATGAAGCAAAGAAGAGGAGAAAAACAGACAAACAGTGCTAAACCATGGTTTGCCTGTTGTAAGTTCAGAAGCACAAATCATGGTTTGGGGCATTACCTGAATTTCAGCCACTGTCAGAAATACTTTTCTGTTATCACAGAAACAACCTGTGTGTGGTCAAGATTTTAAAAGGACACAATAGATACAATCCACAAAGTATATCCACTCTCAACAGCCTCTAGCAATCAATACTGATCAATATCTCAGAAAATTACACTGAATAATGGGATTATTTTATGTTCTTAAATGCAATAGAGCAGTTAGTTTTTACCATGTAAAATTTATCAAGGCGCAGTCTGTCTATTCCGTTCCACTCACGGTTCATAGTTTGCCAAAACGTCTCAATGAACAAATGCCCTGCAGTGAAAAAATAGTAATAACTTTTATGTTCATCTCAAGCATTTCCACTAAGTGACAGGAAGAAGCCATTTGAGTTTCCATGCAGCAAGGACACCAATGGGAGTAGAGTCAAGTGAAACTGTAATGTTTAGATCACCAAACACAGAACATCTAGGCACTTTAATCTGAATGGGGGAGGGGCTGTGGCTCAGTGGTAGACCATCTGCTTGGCATGCAGAAGGTCCCAGGTTCTATCCCTGGTATCTCCAGGTAAAAGATCTCATTGTAAAAATCCTCTGCCTGAGACTTTGGAGAGCCACTGCTACTTTGAGTAGACAATACTGACTTTGATGGAGCGGGGGTCTGATTCAGTACAAAGGCAGTTTCATGTGTTCAACAGGAGTAGTTGTATTTATTTCCTTGCTCTCACTAAATTCTGTGAAATGCTGAATCATAGACCTTATAGGTAGCAGGCAGTGAGGAAACATGCAGGTGCAAAGAATTCACTGGCCAATGATAATGTGATTAGGAATTATTATGCATCACTGCCACCCTGTGCTGTCTATTTTATACCTCAGCCAATACCCTTTCTCTGAGTCAATCTCTGTGGGGTGAATCTAGCAGCGCTGGGACATATTTCCCTATCTGGACACTGCCTCTCATAAGCACTGTGAGAATGAAGGGGGAAAGGGTTATTGGTGCAGGAACCAAGTAAAACAAATAAAAAGGAATTCTCAAGAGAATGCAGACTTAGTGGTCTTAGTCACATTTAATGTTTGTAGAACTTCCATCACTGAAACAAAATGTAAGTAGACGTTATTCCCTTTGAGGATAGTTTCTAAATGAATTAACTGTGTGTCCAGTCACTGCCAAAAGCTACAACCACTTTTAACGTCAGAAGTAGCTGTTTCCAAACACAATGAATCTTCTCAGGATTCACAATATATGTACCATGCAAGTAAAATGAGACTTACGTGCATCTATATTCTCTATTACATGGATCAGCTGTGATATATTGTTTGATAATTCTTCCTAAAAATGGAAGAGAAAAAAATTAGAATACAGTATCTCAAAAGCAGATTCCAACCCATCACTTCAAGTATGAACAAACCCATGGCTGGGACCCCAAAGGGCAAGCACACATACTACATGCATGCACCCAATCTTTACCCACTTTCTTTTCCAGGAGATAAGTTTTAAAGCCATTTACAGACCTGGCATAAGGGCAAAAAAGTCCACCTCTATGTGCAAAATATTCTCTACCCATTTCTTTTTTGATTAAACAGCACAGCACACATACAGCACTCATGGATGTTAAGCACTAGATGTGCAGCAATACAAGCTTTTTAGATGCAATGGCAGCATCTCCAACCTGGACAGGATGAAGTTATAAGCAGGCACTAAATTTTGAGAGCATGATCTATAACTAGTGGAAAGCACCAAACTGCTTTAGTTTGCATAATTCACATTTTACATAATTTCAAAAAATTCAAATCAGAAAGCATAGAATTATTCTAGTATTCCACATTAAAAACCACATGTATATCACTATTCCAAATATAACCAGATGTTTATTCTGCATGAATTTTCCTTCTTAATGAATCTATTTGTTTCTAACTACCAGATAAAGCTGTAGTCAAAGACTCCTACAGGATCCATTCTGACAAAGGCTAAATTACACCTTGCAAGCCTGTAAGCTACAGGCAAGTATTTATTTTGAGGGCCAGCTTGAATATGAATTCACTAACATTCTAAGAAGTGCTACATCAATGATTTTATTTCTTTTGATTATGAACCAAAGGGTTTAAAATACACATCTTTCATGCCACAATCTGCAGGCAGAGTAGGTATTTCATATAGGTTAACTCCTGACTTATTACTCACATTAATATCTACTTTGTCACTCTACCTGAATATTAGCTATATTTGGAAAGATCTGTTGGTTTGCCTGAATACTTTTTAAAAATACATAACTACCACCCAGGACACTTTCAATAATTAACTCCATGATCATGAAGTTGCAATTCTGTGCATGCTTACTTTGGCACTGAGATATCCTTCTGAGCAAACACACATAAATAGAGAGGCACTAAATCACAACATTCATACAGCATGTTGTTTTGACATACTTGCAACAGAGGTTTATCCTGCATCCACATACAATAAAATAGTCCTTTCCATATTTTTAGAAATTCTTCTTGGTTGAAGCCACCTGAAGAAACAAATGACATTTGAAAAGTTAAAACACATTTTAATTTCCTCCAAAACAGACTCTCCCTTACAACTATAGTCACACCATAAGTACACTCCCCTTTCACATTCAGCGCCAAAGTTCAATAACATGTGTAAGGAGAAGTCCCCTCATCTATGCAACCCATCGTCCTGACGATGTCCAAATGCCACTCAGCATCACACTTGCGTTTCCCTCCCCATTTTGGCTATTATTTCTGCCGGTGTGCTTTCCTACCGGGCACTGAGCCTGGCTCCTTCGTCGACAGCACCACGTGCTCCGCCAGATCCTGGGTCCTCAGAATTATGTAGCCTCGTAGCTTTTTCAGTGCCCGGTCTCGAATCCGCTTCTCGTTCGCGGCCAATCGCTGAGCGAACTGGATCTCAGGCGGCTGCACGGCGGAAGCCATTGCGGCGGGCGCCATCATCCACCACCAAACAGACCCTTCCCTAAGCGTCGCTCGGCGTTGTGTGATGAGCAAAGGCCGACGGACCGAACGCCTATAGATGACGTCACAGCCACATACTGGCCGCAAACATTCTAATTCAGTTGCGACAGCGAAAGGGGCAAGAGCGGAAATGGACACGTGGAGTGTGGGGCCAACCAATCAGTTTTGCCGGAAGAGCCGCGAGACTAACGCAAGCAAACATCGACTGCTCCACGTGCTGGACGTGATCCATATACGGCTATCACCCTTATTTTAGATAGACGCAAGATGTATCGCTGCAGTAAATCGTGGCGCGCAACTCCACGCAGGAGCATGAGCTGATATAATTCTGAATTAGAATAGTAAACTGTACTGCACTAGTTGAGAAGGAGACTTAATTTTTGAATGCTCCTCTATGTTTAAAAAACACCAACTCTCTAAATACATAATTTATCAAAAAACTAGCAAACTATGGAGATGAATCCTAGCCAAACCTCCCGCCTCCCTGTGCTGTTTTCCCATTTGTAGGTGTGTTTTTTTATGTACATGAGCACTGAAAGGCACTATTCACAGCTGGTGGTGGAAAGTGCCTTAAAGTCACAGCTGACATGATAACCACTTAGGGTTTTCAAGGCAAGAGACCTTGAGTTTCTGTGTTCGCCATGGCGGCTGCTTTCTCCCGAAGCTCTGGGAGACGACTGCCAGAGCCCGCAGTTGGGAGCGGGCGTGACTGTCCACGCCACCCCCGGAGCCCTCTATTGGGCTCCCAGCCATGGGGTGCTAGAGTGCCCTTCTTCCAGCAACCCTGCCAGCGAAAGGGGACTACTCCATGCCCCGAAGGTCCCGCTGCGGAGCATCCTGAATGGGAACTTGAAATCGCACACCAGAGCAAGCATTTGGTGGCCAAGCAAATAGAAAACAGAAGTGGATTTATTGTTGAACTGTGAGTTAGTGTCTAAGCGAGAAACACCGAAGAATTAGCTGAAAACCTCCCCTTTGAAAGCAAGGGGCAGGAGGGAACTCTCCCCCGCTAAGAAAACTAAGCGAACTTTGAGCCATTACGAAAAGGGGGGTGGGCTAATGAAGCAAGATGGACTGAAATAAAGAGCATTTAAGAACTTACCAGGCTGATTTAAGAGTATCAGATACTGTGATAACTTTTGTAAAAAGTAAACAATTCCCAAACATGGCGCCCACGAGGAAGGATGAGAAAGACAAGCAAGTGAAACCTAAGCTTCTTGCCGGAACTGTCCAGCCCAGCAGACATACTACAAAGCAAAACTGATACGATCTATAGGTCATATTCAGAATTTATAAGAAAGAATAATCTGCCAGGGGAAATCATGGTAAGATTCTCCAGAAGACAAGTGAGAGACCAAATTCTCAAAGTGACAAATGGAACTACCTTGAAAATCAAGGACAAAGAAATAAAAGTGTTGAAGGACATTCCGTTTGAAATAAGAAGGAAAAGAAGAAAATACAGAGAAATTTCTACAGAAGGACAACATTCCCTACAAATGGATCGAACCCGAATGCACAATCTTCAAATTTATGGATAAGAAAGAAAAAAATGACCCTGTTGAAAAGGCACGTGAATTTTTGCATCAACATAGCTGTCCAGCAGGAGAAGAAGAGGAGGAAGAAGTCAGCACCAAAGAAAGTGAAGAAGAGGGAGCAGTGGCATCTTCAGATGAAAACTCCGATTCTAAACTGGGGGCAGCAGCCCCAAAGACAAGCTAACATTTGAGAAAGAAAAAGTATAAAAGACAGGCCCGTAGTTCACGTGGGGCCCACGGGGCCCGCTCCCCGCGGGTTTTGTGGGCCCCCTCCCCGATCCTCTGCTCCCCCCCCGCCCGAAGATGACGAGAGGCTGGCGGCGGTGGCACTAGGAGCCGAGGCGGCGTCAGGGGGCTTGAGGGGCAGAGCGGCCTACCCTCCTCCTTCTCCCCTTCATCCTGCATGCAGCGGCGTGACTCCTCCCCCCCCGCCCCTGCAGACGCCGTTTTCAGGAGCGGGCAGCGGCTTTGTTGTCGTCCTGCGGGAACATCCCACTAGCGGGGAAACAGAGGAGGCAGCCAGGGAGTCACAGTCTCCAGTTGCCTCCCGGGGGTTGTCGCTGGGAAGAGAGAGCCGATCCCCGCTGGGGCTCCCGCCCCGCCCTTTGCACAAGCCTCTCGCGCCTCTCCTAGGGAAAGGGGAGGTCGGTGCAAAACGACACGGAACAAAGTGGGCAATCGCGGCACGGAGAGGGTGGCCCGCCCGCCCGCTCCTTTTGCCCTCGCCTCCCAGACGAGAGAAGCAAGCAACCGGCAAAACGTCTAACCCGGTAAAGAAAGGCAGGCGTTTCCCTGGGTTTTGCTTTAACTGTAGAAGTAGCAGCCCCTGGAGAAGTAGCAGCTGGAGAAGACTCTTGAGAGAAGCGGCTGCATTTCGACGGGGCTCTTCCTCAGAGCCGGTGAGGTGTTTCCTCTTGTATGGTCGTGGGCCCGCCCAGTGTGCCCGGTGTCATTACGTCACTTCCGGGTGATGTGCGTGTGGTGCGTGCGCGCTTTGCGCGCACACGCACACTCCGGCCCCTCCACTTTCCCCAGGGCCTCCCCACTAGAAAGGTCCTAGCTATGGGCCTGATAAAAGGTGAGATGTTATTGCACTCTGAAATCTCTAATAATGTTTTGTTATAATTATTTCTTTTATTGCTCTTTAAGAAGTCAGATATGGTGGTGTTTATTTGTTTTAAATTGATTATTCGATGACCACATTCAATGAACTTGAATCGAATGTTGAGTTAAAAGCTAACTTGCTAAGCAGTATGTATGACCACCACCTCTTGGGTTTTTAGTGGGTTTTCTTTACTTTCTCCTATAGTTTGTAGATCCCCCGCCTAATTTTGTTGTAGTTTATAGAAAATGCAATAAAAAATCCCCTAGGGGGGCATTAAAAAAAAGAGAGGTGGTTTACCATTGCTTGCCTTCACGTCACAATCCTGGTGTTCCTTGGTGGTCTCCCACCCAAATACTAGCCAGGGCTGACACTGCTTAGCTTCTGAGATCTGAGGAGAGCAGGCTAGCCTGGGCTATTTAGCTCAGGGCTTTTATTATTCACTAGCTGAGCCCTCCGAGCTCAGGTAACTTTACTTCTAGCTGATTCTACTTTTGTAGATTAGTGGATTGGTCTGAAGATTTAACCCCATTGATGGCTATGATATTAAGCTATTCCAATAGTGCAGAATTAAAAACTCTCAAACTAAAAATCAGAATTCTTAGTTAGACCCAATGAATGGGATAGCTTAGTTATATTTGGTAGAATGACAGAACGGTCAGCTCTGAGGTTAAAGGGAATCCTTTGAATATAATGTTTTTCTCCCCTCTTAAATAGAGTTTATTTAGAAGTGTGCATAGGAAAAGGAGTACGACAAGGATGTATATTGTCACCTTGCTTATTTAATATATATGCAGAGTACATCATGCAAAATGCTGGCCTGGATGAATCACAAGCGGGAATTAAGATTGCTGGGAAAAAGATCAACATCCTCAGATATGCAGACGATACCACTCTAATGACAGAAAGTGAAGAGGACCTAAAGAGCATCTTACTCAGGGTAAAAGAGAGCGCAAAAGTAGGCTTGAAGCTCAACATCAAAAAAACTAAGATCATGGCATCCGGCCCGATCACTCCTTGGCAAATAGAAGGGGAAGTCGTGGAAGTAGTGACAGACTTCACGTTCCTGGGATCCCAGATCACCGCAGACTGTGACAGCAGCCATGAAATTAAAAGATGCCTGCTCCTTGGGAGGAAAGTGATGGCGAACCTAAACAGCATGATAAAAAATAGAGACATCACCCTGCCAACAAAAGTCCGCATTGTCAAAGCAATGGTATTCCCAGTAGTCATGTATGGCTGCAAGAGTTGGACTATAAGGAAGGCCGAGCGCCGAAGAATAGATTCTTTTGAACTATGGTGCTGGAGAAGACTCTTGAGAGTCCCTTGGACTGCAAGAAGATCAAATCAGTCAATCCTAAAAGTAATCAACCCTGACTGTTCCCTGGAAGGCCAGATAATGAAACTGAAGCTCAAATACTTTGGCCACCAAATGAGAAGGGAGCACTCACTGGAGAAGACCCTGATGCTGGGAAAGATTGAAGGTCAAAGAAGACGGGGACGGCAAAGGATGAGATGGTTAGACAGTGTCATAGATGCAACGAATATGAAATTGAGCCAACTTCAGAGGACAGCGGAAGACAGGAAGGCCTGGCGTGATCTAGTCCATGGGGTCGCAAAGAGTCGGACTCGACTGTGCGACTGAACAACAAAAAGAAGTGTAGCAGCATAACAATTTCAGTAAAGTTCATAACAGTTTCAGATAGTTACAGGTCTTCTTCCTTTAAAGTTCTTTAAATAGAGCTAGCCACAAAGGCTTGTTTTCTCACTTGCTGCTTAAGCTAACGGCTTCCACAAAGAACACAGATTTCTTTCACATTCCACACTCAATCTTTTCACCCACTCTCCTTCCTCCCAAGGGTTGCCAGGTATGAATTGGAAAATACATGGAGACTTTGGGGGTGGATCCAGGAGAGGGCGGGGTTTGGGGAGGGGCCTCAGCATGGTACAGTGCCATAGAGTCCACCATTCAAAGCAGCCATTTTCTCCAGGGGAGCTGATCTCTGTCAGCTGGAGAACTGTTGTAAAAGTGGGAGACCTCCAGGCCCCACTTGGAGGCTGGCAACCCTATTCCTCCCCCACCCAACACACTCAGAACAAACTCTCTCTCTCCCCACAAACCAGTCAACTCCACTAGAGTACAGCTACCATCCAGTCATAATACGCTCCAATGACCCATGACTCTTTCTTACTCTAAAGGCCTACATTTTAAGTCACAGCCAACCACATATAAATCCCCAGATTAAACACAGAAATAAAACATCCACACAGTATTTACATATGAAAACACCACAACAATGTTTAATGCACATACAGATTCACAGAACTGTTGAAATAACTGTGGCCCCCCCCACTGCTCTGGGGCCCATCATTCCACCTTCAGAACACACTGCTACCCCCAGGGACTGTCATTCCACTGTGGGGCCTGTCGTTCCAGTCCCAGAG